CCTTACGATGTAAATGTCTAGAGAGTGCTTAATCGCAAGGTCATCTACAGTAAATTTGCACCCTGGCTCTTACAACATTTCACCATTCATGGCATATCTTCTTGTATCACAGTGGGGAATACCTAATTAAATAAGTGATGGAAAGAAAAAGAAAAAACCCGGCTAGATAAAAAAAAATTCTAAAACTCCCAGCATTCCTCTGTCGTTATTGCTCCATTCATCTTTCCACAGAGCCTCATACTCAACACAGAAGCCTACATCAAGCTCCTTGAGAAGGCGGCGGCGTTGCCCTGAGTCATGTATATGAAGCTCTTGATAATAACGGTGATACTCGAGCTCTGGCTATAGATATCTCGAAAGCGTTTGCTAGTGTCTGGTAAGTTGGTCTTCTATGTAATATTGCACATTTACAAATCTATCATTTGGCCGTACATTGAATACTGTTGCCATAACTGATTAGGTGCTTCTATTATTCATGTCGAGGTTCTTAACAAAATCTAAAGAAGGATTTTTAACTCGATCCTGACTTGTCATCTCGACTTCAATCACTTTCTCACCGACGTGACGTGGCTTCCCTCCGTCTTTTCTACAAATATTTTCATAGGAACTGCTCTGACGAGCCTTTTCCCTAGTACCTGGACTACGTGTGTTTAAGCGTGCTACTAGATTAGCATCTAGGCCCCACTCTATTACAGCTTAAATAGCTAAATTCAGCCGCCACTTCTACTCCAACAGTTCCTTTTCTAGTACCCCCCCGGCAATGGAACTTCCGTTTCCTTGCTTCCCTGAAAACTACAACCTTCAAAAATTTAAACGCAACGTCAATCGCTATCTTCTATCTTCTTGAAACTCGTTCAGCTTTTAATCCTTTCCTCGGTGTCCCCAATACCCAGTTTTATTCTCTCACCTTCACTCTCTCTAACCCCCTACGTACCAGTGGTCATGTTTGCGGTGAAATTAATTAATGTTAGTCGATCGGTTCCCTATTCAGTATGGACCACTACACGCAGAATTTGCTACATTTTATTTTTAAATAATTTAGATGGGGAATGAATGTTAATTTTTTTGTCAAGGATTTATGCCTGGCAACTTGTGTTTTTTCACTACTGTGATTTCTGCTTCGTCTAATGTTAAATAGAGGTCGATATGCAAGTTCCTTAATTTGCAGAAATGTAGGCATTTGGTTTTCGTTTTGGCAAAGGTAAAACATTTTCAGTGGCCCATCTGTGTATTTTACTGAGGCATTGTTGGAGTTCTATGGTATGTATATTTCGAAATCGGTACATTATTAGAAAGTCGTCGATATATAGGGATCTGTCACTTCTGAGTTAATTTTTACGCAGAATAGGGTCAACGAAAAATTCTTCTTTGTGGAACCCGCTCTTCTTGGTTTTGCAGTTCTGATAACGTACTTCCAATACGGATTTGAAATCTTCGGTCTTCCAGAAAATTCTATGAATTGAGTCAGCCTCCCTTTTAAACCCATTTCATGCATGTCTTTCAAGTTACCAAATTTCCATGCCGTGTGGTACGCTTTTTCAAAAAAGGCTGCCATGAGATGTCACTTCTTAACGAATGCTTCTCTTAAAAAGATTTCTATGCTTACTAAGTGGTCTCTGATGCTTCTTCTTCTCCCCTCTAAAAGCACATCGGAAGTCGCAGATTAAGCCTTTAGATTCCAGATACCAAGTCCATCTGTTGTTGACCATTCTCTCCATAGTTTTACATAGGCAACTGCTTAATGCTATTGGTCTGTTGTTTTCAGTATCTGTGCCATTCTTTCCAAGTTTTGGAATAGGAACGATGAATGATTATCTCCACATTTCTAGGAAGTTGCCATTTGTTCATATGTTATTATGCAATTTATTATTTAAGAAAAATTATAATGATTTATTGGATTAATTTTTTTATGAATTCGTAGTGGATATGATCTGGGCACACATTCTGTATCGTGGGCTTTCTTTAAAGATTCATTTAGTTCCTCAAGTGTGAATTGTAGGTTACAGCTCCCGGCATTATTTGATTTAAAGATTAATTTATGTTTTTCCGTTTTTCGTTTGATCTTTAAAAATTTTTAGCTACCATTCTTGACAGATGAATTTTAAAGTTTGTTTTGGCTCGTTGGTCAATGATATCTTTTTGCTGGTTATTTTAGAGTTATTTATCGAAAGCTGTTTCACAGCGTACGGTGTTTGCCTGCTGTTTTCTTTATCATATTCCAGACAGATTTTGTTTTTATAGCAGAATTGAGCCTCTTGGCGTATTTTTTCCAGCATTCATTTTTGGTTTCTTTAATTATTTCCCGCGCTTTTGTTCGGAGTTGCTTAAATTTCAGCAAATTAGAAGTTGTAGGTTGTTTGCTGAATTCTCTGAGAACGGCTCTTCTTAACCTGATAGCTTAATCAATGAGCCAAGTGCTGCTGCGTTTGTTATGTGGGGGATACATTTTTTGCCATAGAGATGATGGTTTCCATGAATTTTTTTTTTTTTTTTTTTTTTT